GAAGGGGCAACCCACCAAACCTCAGACTGCATCTCCAGACTGCACTGCTCCTTACCGAATCTCAGACTGCTCCTTAGACTGCATTGAGCTCTATATATTCTCTCTATTCCTGGGATTAAAGGCATGAGCTCTGTTTCTCCCTCATGTAGTCCTGAGTGGTCTTGAACTCACAGAGATCCATCTGCCTCTGTCTCCTAAGTCCTAGGATTAAATGTGGGTGCTACTAGTGCCCAGCTGTAACTAGCTTTGCATTCTGATCTTCAATGACTTTATTAGGTCATAAACAGTATATCACCACAGGTCTATGTAAGACTGGGCTGGAGTGCTGTGGTATGTTTTGATTGGGCATGTTAATTGGGGTAGCCAAAAGGGGGCTTTTGATTACTGGACTCATTTGTTTCTGTCATGCCACTGTTTGGGTGCCAATTAGGTTGTGTGACAAAACTTCTCCCAGGAAGACAACACACACACACACACACACACACACACACACACACACACGCACACACGCACGCACGCACGCACACACGCATGCACGCGCGTGCACATACATCTGCTCATATCTACTTACCCCAGATATGGAGCCCATGACAGACCAAAGTGTGTATACCACCAGATTTCAGTTTTGTGAACTAATGAGTTGTGTTTTGTTTGTTTGTTTGTTGTTTTTCACGATAGAGTTTCTCTATTGCTTTGGAGGTTGTCCTGGAACTAGCTCTGTAGACCAGGCTGGCCTTGAACTCATAGAGATTTGCCTGCCTCTGCCTAAAGGCATGAGCCACTGACGCCTGGCTGGGTTTTTTTTTTGGGGGGGGGTTTATTACAGGAATATGGGTGAGGGCTTACTTACAGGAGCAGAAATGACTCAAAGACAATTGCATCATCAAAGCCCACCCCAGCACAAGTGACATTTCACAAAAGCTGGGAACCCGAAGCACACTGCACAGCCTGCAGGCAGATAAGCAAGCTTGAGAGTGTCCCTTCAACTCTGGTCTTAGCCTCTTCCAGGCAACTCAGTTGGTTTTTGCTTCTTCCAGGCAGCTGGTGTGACTTCAGAGTCTTTGTAGGTTGGCTTGTCTGAGGATCTTCTTTCTAGCTTCCTCCCATCTTAGTGGGAACCAATGAGTTTTATTGGGGTTGGTTGGCTAGTGTGTGGGGTTTACTGTGCATTTTTAATTACTTCACTTACTAGCAGGTTTGTTAACAGTGCATATTCCTGGCACCTCCTTCCTAACTGAGTATGCTCCCTATTTTGCCTCATTCTTATAATGATACATGCATCTTTCCAATGTAGCCTATAATTGTGTGCCTATTTACCAATATATTTGGCAACTTTTAACAAATTAAGAATTTTTATTTTAGGTGTAGGAATGTTTTGCCTGCACGTATATAAGTGTACTATAGGAGTGCAGATACTCACAAAGGCCAGAAGAGGGCATTAGATACTCTGGAACTGGAATTATGGATGGTTGTATGCCAGTATGTGGGTGCTGGGAACCAAATTCAGGTTCTCTGAAAGAGCAGCAAGTGATCTTAAATTTTTAAAGATTTATTTGTTTTGTATATATGAATATTTTGCCTGCATGTATGTATGCATGCCTGGTACCCTTTGTAGTTAGAAAACACTAGAAATACGGAAGTGGAGTTAGGATGGTTGTAAGTCACCATGTAGGTGCTGGGAACTGAACTCTTATCCTCTTCAAAAAGAGCAAGTGCTCGTAACCACTGAGCCCTATCTCCAGCCCTACATACATCTTTGACTAGGAGCACTGATCTAACAAAAGATTTTATAAGATAGAGATTCCTCTGATTTTATAAGGAAGAAGAGTTGGTACATAATAAAGGAAATCTTTGAGTCTCTCAGCATGTGGCTTTATTTGAGATAGGGCCTTTCTGTAGAGCCCATGCTGGTCTTAAACTTGCTTATTTAGCCTACATTGGCTCCCCAACTCACTATGTACTTCAGGCTGGCCTCAAACTCATTATCATCCTTCACCAGCCTCTCATGCTGGGATTATAGAGAGAGCTCATGTTTTGTAAACATTCAGGCTAGATAATGGCCAGGGAATTTGGATACAGAGATTAGGTATACGGGACTCATCAATACTGGTAATTGGATCATTTTGAAACTCAATATTAAGTTGTGAGGTTGAAGGTATATAGTTGGGATAGATATAGTTCCATTTTTGTATTGTTTAGATGGAAAAAGGAGATTTTAAGAGTGATAAATAGTAATACTCAAAAGTTAGAAACACATTTCTAATATCCTGAACTTTTAAAAAATGAAAATCTGATCTATTATACAATGCTAGCCTAGAGTCTATAAAAAAGATTAAATTACTGGTGACAGGGCTACCTATGGGGTCCTGAGCAGTGGATCAGTGTTTATCCCTGGAATACAAACAGACATCGTGTGTCCATAACACAAAGAGAGTTGCTCTCTCTGCCTGGACTCTTAGGGAAGTGCCTGGACCCTACCCTGAATGAAATGATAGACTCTAGATATCCCCTATGCGAAAGGAATTGGCAATAGGCTGGGAGGATGGGGGGGGATGGCACGGGGGGTGCAGGAGGAGGGGAGGGAGAGGGAACTGGGATTGACATGTAAAACAAGCTATTTAAAATTAAAATAAAAAATAAATAAAATTACTGGTGACATAGAAAGTGCTTATGATGTAATTCTCTGTGTTGTAATTATGATGTAATTCTCTTGGTTATCAATGTGACTGCATCCTGGAATTAATTATAACTCCAAAATAGAAGGCACACCCATGAGGGATTTCTGCTTAATTTGAAGTGGGAAGTTATACTTTTAGTCCAGATCTTATCTGGGCTACACCTTCTGCCGGAAACTTGTATACGGACTTGAGAGAAGGAAGATTTTTGCTCTTTGCCTGCTTTCTCTTGCCTTGCTAGCAAGTCCATTCCTTCACTGGCATTAGAACCTACTTCTTTGGGATTCCAGCCTTAGACTGAGAAACTACTGGATTCTTAGATTTTCTGTTCAGAGAGAGAGAGAGACAGACAGACAGACAGACAGAGACAGAGAGATTCAGTCTGTAAGTTCTGCTACTTTAGAGAACACTGACTATTATAATCTGATATAATGATGACTATGAAGATACAAAATTCTTTAGTATTGTACAAGTCTCATAAGGTTGTACCAGCTGTGTATTTCCACAGTTTGAAAATCTCAGTTCATGAAACAGGACTCTGAATTGGGAATGTGAATTTCCAGCAGGGGAGTCTAGGGACTGAAAGAACATGTAAGATGTTCTAAGAACCCAGAGTGCCTCTTGCAAAGATACACTATAATAATTAAACTATATTTATAAGGAATAGAGTGTTTTAGTAGATCACCAGGGATAAAAAGACAATAAAGTATGGAGAGAAACATATATGTGAACATAACAAGAAATAGCACATTCCAACTTCCTTGAAGGAAGCATCTGTTGTACGGACAATTTTCTTTTACTGTGAGTCAGAATACTCTAGATGTAGAATGCGTTTATCAGTTAAGGCTGTGATCCCAACACCAAGGAAAGGGAGGCAAAAGAAGGAGGAGTTCAAGTCAAGCTCATCCTTGGCCATATAGTAAGGTTAAGGCCAACCTGGTACCTATGAGAGACTGTCGAAACCAAGAAATAACAGCTAAAAGATTTATAGGGAGAAATCCAATTATTTTTCTTATTCCTAAAAGGAAGAGAAACAGCATTTGTTGAATTGTGATATCCAACTTAAGTATTTTTTACAGGGTATTTGTATATGTTGTTTCATAAAAGAAATTGGGACATGTATGGACTATATTCCTTCATAGACTTACCAGTATAATGAGATATTTTATATGCAGAAGATACCTGCAGGAGAAAATTGGAACATGCTCACACCTCATGACTTCATTCATTCTATGCTGTGTCAAAGCTTCAATCTGTATACTTGGCAGTGGCCTTTATGGAGTATTTCTTTTCATCTCCCCCTCCATTAAAGAACTGTATCCTTTATTTCTACAGCTGGTAATTGTGTTTTTTTTTTCCAGAAATCACTGATGGTTAGTCATGTTGCTTTGACTTCTCTCAGGAAGAGTGGAAATGTTTGGACTCTATTCAAAGGGATTTGTAAAGAGATGTGATGTTTGGAAAACTTTAGTAACTTGATGCCAGTTGGTAAGAATTTCTTCCCCTTGTATCTGATAACCTAATTTAAAACATATTATCTCATGTGTGTGAGTGTTTTGCCTGCACGTGTACATGCGTGTGGTGCCTGTGGAGACCAGAAGAAGGTGTCAGATCCCCTGGAACTGGAGTTATGGAGAAACAGATAGTTGTGAATCACCAGGTGGTATTGAGAATTGAACCTAGGTCCTCTGCGAGAGCAGCCAGTGCTCTTAACCTCTGAGCCATCTCTTTAAATCTCTGACTTTTAAGTTATTTAACTGTATTATGTGGGCTTAGTGTTTGTCTTATGCCTGTAATTTCAGTACTCTAGAGGTTGACAGGAAGATTTTTTTACTTTAGTGGCATGTATAGAATAACATAGAATGGAAAATGCTATTACTTTAATGAAACTCTGTAGTAAGTTTTGCTGTGAAAGGTAGATATTGATGTGGGTGGGGTATAGTAAGGAATATTTGGAGAATGCTAATATATACTCGTTACTTCTTACAGATATGACTTTCCTGTTGTCTTTCCTGATAAATTAGTTATATTTCTCTAAAGTCTTCTCTCTTATCTTTCAGACTTGCCTTCTAGGTGTTTGAATAAGGACTTATCTCCAAACAGCACATTAAGGAATCAGAATGACCTCAATGGGAAATGAGTGACAGGCTCAAAAACTGTGACCTAAAACTATTTCTAGAAGATATTTGGGAGTCAAAGTCAGATTAGAGAAGGAAGAAGAAAATCAGAAGTAATATTACAGGCAAGAGATGATAACATATGACAAAATGTCCATTTTCAGCCCACATACTTATTTATCTCAGCATCCAAGAGACTATTCCATAGAGAAACCATATACATGTGAGGGATGTGGAAAAGCCTTCAGGCGAGCCTCACACCTCGCTCAGCATCAGAGTGTTCACACTGGTGAGAAACCCTATGAATGTGAGCAGTGTGGGAAAGCCTTCAGTCGTGATTCTCAGCTAAGTCTTCATGAAAGACTTCATACCGGTGAGAAACCCTATGCGTGCAAGGAATGTGGAAAGGCTTTTACTCAAAGCTCCCAACTTATTTTACACCATAGGATTCATACTGGTGAAAAGCCATATAAGTGTGAAGAATGTGGGAAAACCTTTATTCGAAGCTCACAACTAAGCCGACATCAAAAAGTCCACACTGGTGAGAAACCCTTTGAATGTAAAGAATGTGGAAGGGCCTTCACCCAGAATTCGCAGCTTACCCTGCACCAGAGACTCCATACTGGAGAGAAGCTGTATGACTGTAAAGAATGTAGGAAGGTCTTCACTCAGCTTTCCCAGCTCATTCTCCATAGAAGAAGTCACACTGGTGAGAAACCCTATGAATGTAAAGAGTGTGGGAAGGCTTTTGTGTGCGGTTCACAGCTTTCACAGCATCAGAAAATTCATAGTGGAGAAAAGCCATATGAATGTGAGGAATGTGGAAAGGCTTTTATTCGAGGCTCACTACTTATGCAACATCAAAGAATTCACACTGGTGAAAAACCCTACAAATGTGATGAATGTGGAAAGGCTTTTATCCGTGGTTCCCAACTTACTCAACATCAGAGGATCCATACTAATGAAAAGCCTTATGAATGTAAAGAATGTGGAAAGACCTTCAGTCATGGCTCACAACTCACTCAACACCAGAGAATCCATACTGGTGAGAAACCCTATCAATGTAAGGAGTGTGGGAAAGCCTTTAATCGTGGATCACTCCTTACTCGACATCAGAGGATTCACACTGGTGAAAAACCCTATGACTGTAAAGAGTGTGGAAAAAACTTCAGTCGGGGCTCAGAACTTACTCAGCATGAGAGAATCCACACTGGTGAGAAACCCTATGAGTGTAAGGAGTGTGGGAAATCTTTTATTCGTGGCTCACAGCTTACTCAACATCAAAGAATTCATACTGGGGAAAAGCCCTATGAATGTAAGGAGTGCAGAATGGCCTTCACTCAGAGCTCACATCTTTCTCAACATCAGAGACTTCATACCGGCGAGAAACCGTATGTGTGTAGCGAATGCGGCAAAGCCTTCGCTCGTGGATTACTACTCATACAACACCAGAGAATTCACACTGGTGAGAAACCGTATCGGTGTAGGGAATGTGGCAAGGCCTTCATTCGTGGTTCACAACTCACTCAACACCAGCGGACTCACACTGGAGAAAAACCTTATGAATGCAAGGAATGCGGGAAGGCCTTTGGTCATGGCTCGCAACTTACTCTCCATCAGAGAATTCATACAGGTGAGAAGCCCTATGAATGCAAAGAATGTGAGAAGGCCTTCACTCAGAGCTCGCATCTTTCTCGGCACCAGCGAATTCACACTGGTGAGAAACCCTATCAGTGTAAAGAATGTGAGAAGGCCTTTACGCGCGGGTCACAATTAATGCAACATCAGAGAATGCATAACAATGACAAATCTTTTGATTGTAAAGAATGTGGAATAGACTTCAATCATCATTCACAATTTTTTATTTGAGTTAACTTATTCTTTTTGATTAGCAAAGCTTTTCCTGATCATTATCAGTGAAGAATTCTTACAAATGTAAATATAGGACTCATGAGGTTCAGCATTTGAAAAGTTATATGGAAGACTAGAAATGCTGATATAATCCACATATGAAAGTCTTTTGTTTATAACTGTACTGCATTTTAGCAAATTACAATAAAAAGTGATTCTGTTACTGTGGTATAGAAAGGTCTTTAGCATAGAAAATATTTGTATCATTGTTATTGTGGTCCTATCAGTTCATTTCCTTTATGACTTTTTCTTATAAGTAACCTTGCTTTGATTTAATCATTGTAAGGTAGATCTCAGACTAATTTTTTTCATATCATGTTTAATCATGTAAAAGCACTTAGAACAGTGCCTTGAACAGATCATATAATAAGCATGTGTTTGATTTGTCACAAAGTTCCCACACTTATGTTTCACCATCTTTGGTGTCAACTCAAGAATATTATTTATAAAGAATGAGCTGAATACTCAGGATAAATCTAGGAAATAAAAAATAACTTGAATATGTAGTTTGTTAACTGAAAGTTAAAAGCTACACCTATAGATTACATTTCATTTACAATGAAAAAACTGATGTGTTTGTATCAGAGACTGATGCTCTGCCCAATTTTCATTTCCCTTTCAGTCACAAAACCCTAGACAAGTAAAACCTATCTCAGTCTCCATATCAGGTAAACAAGATGTATTTGTATGAGTAGAATATTTAAGAAATCCTTCCTCTCTGTTTCTTTTCCCTTCTTAACACTGTAGGCATCTGAGGTGGAGCCCAGATAGCCTCATGAGGATTCTGGAAATAGTATCTGGGTGTTATGGATGGTGGAGTCTGCAACCCTACTGATTTTGTGAACAGTCATTCCAACTCTGTTCTATGTATTTCTTTATTGTAAATTAAAGTAACCCTCATGCTTGATGCTCTCCTAGTTCTCTGAACAATAAAACGCTCTCTCTCTCTCTCTCTCTCTCTCTCTCTCTCTCTCTCTCTCTCTCTCTCTCTCCCTCTCTCCCTCCCTCCTCTCCCTCCTCTCCCTCCTCTCCCCCTTTTTGAGACAGTTTCTCTGTATAGCCCTGGCTGTCCTGTTACTCACTCTGTAAACCAGCCTGAGGATTGGGATTAAAGGCATGCACCACAATGACTGGTAATAACTTTTCTCTTATGAGCATAAAATAATCTTTTACCTGGAAAAAGGCTGTTGTGAATAATATTAAACCGGGCAGTGGTGTGTACACCTTTAATCCCAGCATTTGGGAGGCAGAGGCAGGTGGATCTCTCTGAGTTCAAGACCAGCCTGTTCTACAAGAGCTAGTTCCAGGACAGGCTCCAAAGCTACACAGATAAACACTGTCTCGAAAAACCAAAAAAGGAAAAGAAAGAAATCTCAATATAAGACCATGGAAAGTGACAGTATATTGAGAGTGAGGTACAAAAGTGAATATTCTTTTTTTTTCAGGCAGGACATTTGAACAGCCTGCAGCCTACTGTCTTGTATGGCACTCTCGATACCAAACTAGGCTGAAATGTTAGAAGAAATGACAAGAAATGATACAGAACATGCATGCTCAGTATTTCTTGCTGCTTTAAAAGATGTCTTTTACGAGACATTAATTCAGAATAGATTTAGCCAGGCCAGTAGTGATATTATATTGCTTTTATTAGGAGCTGCAGACAGACATGGCCCGTGCCTCAGGAGGCAGAGACAGGTGGATCTCTGTAAGTTTGAGGCCAGCCTGGTCGTCATAGTGGATTCTAGTACAGCCAGGGCTACATAATGAGATCCTATCTCAGGCAGAGATAGAGATGCTATTTCTGACTGCAAGTGTTTGGTCTTCTTAACTGAAACCTATGAACTGACTTAAAGAAGAGCTTGGATAAAACCCAAGACAACAGCCCATGCTTACAAAGGTAAGTAGGTATGCAAAAAAAAAAAACTGGAATTTTTGTGTGCTTTCCCTATACAAGTTTATTCTAAAAGTAGTCTCATTCATTTGAGTGTTTGTTAGAGTCCAATTATTATTGTTATTTGGGGTATATCTATGAACAATCTTAGCATGAATTGGTGAAATAAAAATAGAATATGTTAAATATAATTGTATCAGGTATGGTGGCATACCTATAGTCCTAGTACTAGCTGGTAAAGGGACCTGAAGCATGAGGATTTAAGGTTCTAGGTCATACAGGACTAAATAGTAAATTCTGGACAATTCTAGACTATGTAAAGAGATCCAGTCTCCAAAAGGTGGTAAAGAATCAATTGATCATTAAAAAAGAGATGAAGTCTATTAAGAAGAATCTGGTGGTGGTGGTGCATACCTTTAATCCCATTAGGCCTTCAAGACCAGCACTCAGGATTCGAGGTCAGTCTGGTCTACACAGTGATTTCAAGACAGCCTCCAAAGCGACAGAGAATCCCTGTCTCAAAAAATCAAAATTAGATTTTGGCCCAGATTAGAAAATCTAAAGTTTATGGAAAGAACATTCCAGGAAGGTTTTCCTATGTTGATTATATTAACATTTCTATTTTCCCATCTAAATTCTCAAATGCTGAACTTCAGAAAAAAATATGTCTCATATTCACATAACAGGACGTCAGTGTATTTTAGGAACTAGAGTGTCTTAGAATTCTAGGCAAGGGAATGATAAGATAGAAGGTCAGGGAGGTAACTAAGGGCTGTGTCTTACAAAACTTTGTAAGCATTTTTTTTTTTACTTTATTCTGAATGAAATGGGTGGCTGTTGGAGGGTTTTGAGCAAAAAGCATGATGTGATGTGTAGCCTTTAAAGAGAAAAATCTGCTGATGGCCTAGAGCAGTAGTTCTCAACCTGCAACCTTTTAATACAGTTCCTCATATTGTGGTGACCCCAACCATAAAATTATTTCATTGCTACTTCATAGCTATAATTTTGCTACTGTTATGAATCGTAGTGTAAACATTTGACATGCAGGATATCTGAATATGTGATCCCTGTGGGGGGTCACAACCCACAGGCTGAGAGCCACTGGCCTAGACTATGATTGTTGCTATTGGTATAGTGAGAAGTTGTTTTCTTCTATGTTAAGTGAACACAAAACAAGTTTTATTTTATGGTCAGGGGTTATGTGTGAGAAAGTCCTAGGTGAATTGAACTCAGGTTTTGATGTTTTGGCAATTAGATAGGTGGTGTATACTATCAAATAAGACCGGGTGGCACACACCTTTAATGCCAGCATTTGGGGTCAGAGGCAGGTAGATCTCTGTGAGCTTGTGGCCACCTGGTCTACAGAGCAAGTTCTAGGACAGTAAGAGCAGTTACACAGAGAAGCCTTGTGTTGAAAAAAGATGGAAGAAGCTGCAGTTCCGACACAGGAAAACAGAGTTCATTTTGGACATATTTAAACATTTATAAATTATTATTCATATGTGTGTGTCTTTGTGTCTTCCATGTGTGGAAGTGTGCCTGAAGGGAATGTTAGATCCCCTGGAGCTGTACAGGTGGTTGTGAGTCATCTGATGTATGTGCTGGGAACTAAACTTGGGCACTAAAGAATACTAAACACTCTTAACCACTAAGCAGTGTCTCCAGTTGCAAGGGGCTGTTAATCTTGAGATGGCTTTTAGACATCAAATGAAAATACTGACGATACAGTTGGACCTATAGCAGCTTGTATTACCCCAGACTGAATATTAATAGTTATTAGTTATACAGATTTAGAACTCTGAAGTAGAATTGCATCATTAGGGACTTGATGTAAAGAATAAGGTCTGAACTGTGTAGTATCCAACATTGAGATTAAGAAAAGGACAGCAGCCGGGCGTTGTTGGCGCACGCCTTTAATCCCAGCACTCGGGAGGCAGAGGCAGGCGGATCTCTGTGAGTTCGAGACCAGCCTGGACTACCAAGCGAGTTCCAGGACAGCCTCCAAAGCCACAGAGAAACCCTGTCTCGAGAAAAAAACAAACAAACAAAAAAAAAGAAAAAAAAAAAGAAAAGGACAGCAAAGGAGCTAAAATGGGGGATGAAAGAGATAAGACGAAAACAAAGACTAGAATTCCAGAAGCTAGATTAAAGTGAATAGGATAATCAATGGGAACAGACTATTGGCAGATTAAATAATGAGACTTGAAAAGTGTAACTTGACATTGTTGCATAACTTAGAGAAAGATAGAGATTTATTGTTTTGAGGTGAGCATAAAAGACAGAAAAGAGAATATAATAGGATACAATGGATACATATACATCATTTAGGGAACAACCAGCATAAAGTAACTGCCACACTGGGCAGTACTTGGCTGTCTCAAGACTTACAGTGACACCAAAGCTTTCTCCCAAGATCCTGGAATTCACCAACCAGGCCTTAAAGAAATTTAAAGATGCATTTGGGACCACAGAGAAGCTATGTAAAAGCCAAGCCAGGTTCTTTAAATGTTAGAAAGAGAAAAGGAGGGAGATTGTCAAGTATCCAGACAATGGTGGCCTACATAGTAAAGACTGGATAAGGCAGGAGATCACTCATATTCCAGGTGGGTCCTGTATATGAGTGAACTGGTGAGTTGGCTAAAAGGGCTACTGATTGTTTATTTAAAAGGTTTATTTGTGCGTGGAGCTACATGTGGATTCACCAAAAGATTAACGTAAAGAACACTGGGTACTTAACTCTCTACTACTCTCTAGCTACCTTTTTGAAATAGTCTTTCTTCCTGAACCTGGGTCTTCCTCTTCTTCACAAGACTGGAATCCAGCCATTCCTAGTGACCCTCCTATGCCACCAACACCCTTCTTAGAGTTGCAGGCTGATGCAGGACACTGGTCTTTACTCAGGCTCTTATGATTACTCAGCAAGAGCTCTTGACATATGAGCCATCTCTCCAGTACCTAGGCTGCCATTTTGCGGGTCACATTGTCCCTAGGTTACTAGTCTCTTGATCACTGATCTGTGGTTAGACTTGTTGCCTTTGAGGAATTGTCTTCTGTCTGGACCTCTTCTAAGTCCAAACCTGGTGTCTAGTGAGGCCTAGTATCTAGTGAGGTTTACTTGGGCATAAGAAGATATCTCTTTCAGAAAGTTGCTGTCAGCGGGAGGAAGCCACTCATTGAACTCATATGGGAACCCCCGCCTGTAAAGAAAAAAGTCACACCTGGCTACATAGGCAAAGAAAAGTATCTCCTGAGTTGGTGAAGTTCTGTCTTGATCACAAAAGCCCCATTTGTTCACCTAGGTAGTTCCTCAGGCTTTAGGGCTGTGCTTTGGTACATAATCCCCCCACAAGCATAACAGAGCACTGACAGGTGCATAGGCAGCCCTGTTCTCGAGATTCCCCAGGGGAAAAGTAGACCTAATTCCTATGGTGCTCACTGGGCTACTTATTATAGTTGGACTTTTTGTCAGGACCATCAGCTCCCCAATGATGACATGGAGATATTATTAATTATAAAAACTCAGCTGATATCTTAGGCTTGTTTCTAACTAGCTCTTATATCTTAACCAATATCTTTTAATCTACATTCTTTTACATGGCTTGGCTACTTTTACTCTGTATTACCCCTGCTTCTTCCTCTGAGTCTCCTGGCATCTCCGCACTTTTCCCCAGCATCCCCTGTGACTGGAAATTGTGCCTAGTTTTTGGCCATTCCACTTTTTATTAAACCAATCAGAGTGACACATCTTCACGGTGTTCAAAAAGATTATTCCACAACAGCTCAAGCCTTTTCTTTTAGTTACTTGGCCCATCTCAACTTCTTTGACCCTAAGGTCATCTACCTAGACCAGCTGTCCCATCCCTGCATTGTGCATGAGGGAATAATTGGTTCTGCAAAGTCTCATAAAATATCCCTAAGCAACCATGGTGGTCACTGTGATACAGACTCCAGGCAATGTGTAGTTCTGACAGCTAGGCTGTAAACCAGCACCAACTAGGGGAGCAACTGGCAAATAT